TCAACCATTTTAGGATTATTTAACATTTGTAGCATGTAACTTAACATATTCATTTAATAGTTATCTCACATCAATATGGGTCCCATAAAACACAAAACAAGCAACATTCGGACAATAACACTCTATAGGCTATAAAACATAAAAAAGCATCATCCAACTAAGTTGCTTTTGTGATGCTAGGAACTTCTACCAACATTATCGGTTGCTTTATGCATGCAAATTATACACAAAACAGGACTACATAGTCTGTCTAATGAATGATTCTACCTTAAGCCCACAACCAAACAAGAAAGAGGAAATAAGGCCAAATCAGTCCTTCTAGGGTTATATGATCCTAATCGTATATAATTTTTAAAGCATACACTTAGCAATTAATTCCACCAACCTAGATTCCAAATCTATCATAGCATCCAATTCCTCCTAAGCTACAAAGCACCACAAATTAGGCTATTTTATCCAACGTCTAAAATCCATACTAACATGTTGTGTCACACCCCCAAACCAAGGATGGCGGAAACGTCTGGGGGTGGAGGACTTCATGTACAGTATCACAACAACGTGTATAATAGTGCTCAAAGTAAAAACAACCACCATATATATATATATATATATATATATATATATATATATATATATATATATATATATATATATATATATATATTTGCAAAAGTTACACCAAAGTATATGTTTATATGTTTCAAAAGCAATTACATTATGATGACAAAATAAATTGTTGACGGTTTAACGTCCCATCCTCAAAGCGATGAAGTTTTCCTGTTTCACTGATTTCCTGAGAATACAAGTAGTTTTAAAAAGTGTCAACACAAAGGTTGGTGAGTTCATAAGAGTTTTGTTTGAAGTAGAAACCGTTTTTCCTTGTAAAATCGATATAGTTTGATTTCCAGAAAATCCGATATTTTCTTAGTTAAGTATGAATAGAAATAATCCTATATGATGCATTAATGAACCCTAGAGTAATCCGTAGAGTTCCTCTATAATCGTCCAACATATAAAAGTTATATAAGGTTTAACTTAGATAAAACGTTGAATATAGTGGGTCTGCCCCAGGTCCACAACCCAACGAGGAACAGGAGATGAGGCGGGCACCACCAATTCTAGGCCAATCAAGACTAAATTCTTATATGACTCAAACATATACGCTCAACGACTATAGTTGAAGTCTAACAATTCTAGAGGGAGTATAGTTTTAATATCATAATAACTTTGTATAGAGACCCGACACTTTGTATTTGTACCCATAGAGATAAAAGGTGATTTTAAATCGACATAAAACTCATTTAGGTTTTATAAATAAAATCCCGTAAACTTATGGATTGTTCCCTATGTGAGCCGTTATAATCATACTATGACTATGTGAACCTGCCACGACGTTCTTAGTGTCGCGAAAAATAAAATGACATTTGTCACCCGTAGACCTGCAGGTCCAACTGTAGCTAGCAGCAAGGTGTGGGGTGTCAATCCCAATATAGATCTATATACAAGTATCACGTTCTCCCTCAAGGAGATTCTGATTATAACTACCAGGAATTATATCCCGCACTCGGACGTATGGGGAGAGAGAGAGAGAGAGAAAGAAAAATAGAGAAACTCACAATACAGGATAACAAGTTTACGTGAAATGTGTGTGAATATAAATATTTCTTGTATGAATGTACCCTTCTTGTACGAGTGCGTAGAGTGATGTATCATAAACTATACCTATTATAGTTTATCTAAAATGTATGTAATATGTATGAATTCTTTTATGGAAATGTATTAGTGTTGTGAATTTATCAAACTATACTTTTTATAGTTTAATAATACGTGTTCCAAAATGAATGAATAATATTTAATATGAATGTCTTAGTTTCAGTTCATAATGATAACCTAATAAGGAAACACATTCAAATACTAAAACTTATGATTATACACTTTGCTCAACATAATACAAAGTGTTATGATATTTACATGTTGTTGGCAAAATTTAGCAATTCTGCCCTGTTTTGGAAAAATCATAGAAAAATCATACGAAGTCGAAAACTGGATCCGTAAATTCTGAGAGTTCACAAAATGTGTCTAGTTTGCTCATAATTTTTATCACAATTTATAATGATCTCTAACTTGGGTGAAAAATTCCATAATCACAGACTGGTCCGGATTGTTGTTTGAAATGATAGGCAGTTTTGTAAAAATCACCATAAATTGTAGAAAAATCGTATGGAGATGTGCAAGTAGCCATTTTAAAGCTAAAAACTTGAACTATTTGCACCTTGTACAGTTTTGAAAACAAAAATGTTTAAGATGCCCAAAACAGTCCGTGAATGGAGTTGAACTTTTCTGATGAAGGCTGTTAGAAAAATTTAGTTATGTTCCTAGTGTTTTAACTTGTATCCCCCCCTGAAAACTTGAGAAAACATGAAAATGTAGGGGTATGAACTCACCTTGAGTGATTTCAGTAGGTAAGTGTTGAAGAAGGAAAGTGTTCAACCCAAGAACACTTGAAGAATCACTTGAAGATTCGAAGATCTAACACAATTATGAGAGAGTTTGTCTAAGATATCCATGATTTGAGTGGAAATAAATGAGATAATCATAAAGAGAATGGATTATGCTTACCAAATGTGGAGGAAAAACTCAAGATCAGCCCTTGAATCTCGAATTTCTAGGGAGAGAAAGTGAGAGAGGAAAGAGTTTGATCTTCTTGTGAAATGAGAGCAAATGAGAGAAGTGAGGAGAGAGGATGAATAATCAGCCCTCAAAAACGTGGGAAAGAGGGATAATTGAGTGGAAAAGACATTGATGTGACCTAGGTAAGGTGGAGAGGTGTGGTTAGTCAAAGAGTGGGTGTGGGGTGGTTGCTTGTGACATTGGATAAGGCAAAGTCAACACTCCACCTTTAATAATTCACCCATTTGATTTTTATTATTTAAATAATGATTTTCATCAAAATATGTTTAAATTATGAATATTTAGAGTTTATAATGTTAAAATATAATTTCTGGAGAAAATCCTGCTTTAAAATCATGAAAAACGGGCTTAAAATGTTAAAAATATCAAAAATGGGCTAAAAGTGGCAAATATGCGAAATCTGGCCGAGGCTCGGCCTTCTGGTGCTGAACCGAGAGAGAGAGGGAGGCAGAACCGAGAGGGAAGAAGGAAGAGGGAAGGAACCGAGAGGGGAAAGGAGAGAACAGAGAGACGCGAGACAGAGCGAGAGAAGGGAAGAGACAGAGAGGCGAGGAGCGGAGATCAGAGACCGAGCGAGAGAATAGAGATCAGAGACCGAGGCTCGGTTCGGCGATAAAAGGCGAGAAGGTCAGAACCGAGCGAACTGTAGTGAACAGTAGTGAACAGTACTTTCGGTTCGGGTGAACAGTACCTCCGGTTCGGGTGAACAGTACTTTCGGTTCCTTGCTCTCGGGTTCGGTTCTTACTTTCGGTTTCGGTTCTTACTCTCGGTTTCGATTCCTCCTGGGCGAGGTTCGGCCCTGAGAGGACCTTCGGCTCAGGAGGTTTCGGTTCCTCTTGTTCTCAGTCCCTAAGAGGACTTTCGGGTCCTAAGAAGCTTCTCTCTTGGTTTCGGTTCCTAAAGCCTATTTTTCTCGTTTTCGCCCCGTTTTGAGCCGTTTTTGACCCGGTTAAGGGTCGGAATGACCCGAATGATTCCAAAAAGTTAAGGGAAACTTTTTAGAGAGATTTCTCACACTTGGAGAGATTTGGGAAGGATTTGACATTCTTGGAGAGATTTCTCATACAAGGAGATATTTGAGAGAGGTTTCACATACTTGGAGAGATTTGGGAGAGATTTGACATTCTTGGAAAGATTTCTAATACAGAGAGATATTAGAGGGAGATTTCACATACTTGGAGAGCTTAGGGAGAGATTTGACATAGAGAGAGATAGAGTGAAAACAATTGAGAGAGGTTCCGTGTGGGACAGTTGTGAGTGTCCGGCATCGAAATGCATGGTTTGTAAACCCTGTTAAGCCTCGTTTAAGGATCTTACACCCTCCCGATGAGTATGCATCATTGTTTTATCGGTTTGGCTCGCCACGTACTACAATTTTTAGGTTAAAGAGATCTAGTTGTACGTACTTTTCGATTTATGTTCTCTTATTAGAATAGTGGGTTGTTTAGTAAATACTGAACGTAAGTCCAAGTACACAAGGGTCAGTTGAGCTGACCGGTTTGACTTGTTGACTTTATTTGACTTTGAATTGACCAGAATTTGATGGTTATCACATGTTGTTCCAAAAGCTTAATCAACAGACATGCACATGCATCTGTCTTAGCATTCTATTATGTAATCTTGAGCAAATCATTAGCTCTAGTTTAGCATGTGATTCTTTTATATATATATATATATATATATATATATATATATATATATATATATATATATATATATATATATATGTGTATATATATATACACACTAAAACAATAAGCATAACACATGTATGAGTATTTTGGGAAATACTTACTTGGGATCGATTGATTGCACACGTCACACCCCTTTTCTTAGTAAAAACATTTTTAGAAAAACTATTTTCTTTCAAAAAGTTTACTAATTCCTCAGTTTGAGTTCAACACAATCGTTTCCCAATAGTACTCAATTAAATCAAGATCTAGGGGTATTCAATGAAATATCAAAATTGAATAATAAGTTATAATAAATGTCATGATGTTATATGTTTTGTTGCTATGTTAAGGTTAGTAATCAATAAATTGATATAAAATGATAAAAATGATATTCTTGTATAAAAAAAAAACTCAAGTAAAATTGTCTAGGCCAAGGCTAAATATGAGGACATTGATAATGTTATTTTTAAAAAGAGTTATGCCCATGAAAAGCATTTTGGTTCATGACCTAGAACAAGTTAGGTTACATCGTCTTAAGACTTTCAGAAAATTCATTTTGTTTCGTGTCAAAGCGGTTAACGATTGAAGCAATCATCCTCATACCCAAAAAAAAAAACCGTTGGCAAACACCACCAGGATGAAACAACTAACACAATTCAATAACATTATAACCTAAGGTAAACAAACTCTCAAGTCATCCTCCATTAATCATGGTACAAAACTGATCGAGACTAAACCATAACAAATGTATCTATTGTTTTGTTTGTATATATTTCTTTTGAGGTTGGTGCAAAAACATAATAGATGACAATCGTGTTATCAACTACAACACATTTAATGCACGCTTTTTTTTTCAGTTTACAAATTCAATCAATCGATCGGGTGTTTCTCAGCTTGACGCGATGTGTAATGTGCAGAGAGCAAAAGCAGAGACAAGAAAGCACTTGCCACAAAAATTGCATCAAACCATCGATGGTAGAAATCAAACTGAATGTCTCCACCCAAAACATCTGTAATGATTACTCTGTAAAATTTATAAAAAAAGAATTTCATTTCATTATCAATAATAAATGGGTTGACATTACCAAATGTATTTTGAATTTTGATACCTGTATTCATTTGCTAGGCTTTTTCTAATCAGAAGAATAGAAGATACAAAATACATCCCCATGATTTCAGATAGGAAAAGCACAACATTGCTTGAAGATCCACTACCAACTCGAGAAACTGCAAAGAAGAACTGCATATACAATAAAAAAAAAAAAAAAAAACAACTTAAAAAACAATTTCAAGGCTAGGAATAAAACGGAAAAAATGAGGAACTAGGGTTACCTTCATTAGATTATTCAAGAATCCACGAACAGATATCACAACCAGCATTCCGATGAATAAGAGGGATATATACTGTTTTGTTACAAGACATGTTAGATTTAAAGAATCATGATTTTGTTTTAGTAATTATTATTTATAATAATAAGAACCTGTGACAACAATGCTGCATCAATGCCTATGTCGAAAAACTGCAAGAATATGCTGATTGTCCTAGTCACAGGATCAACTGATCCAGCCTGTGAAATAGAAGAGAACCTTACTAGATGAATACCAAAACAGAAAATGTAATACAAATTACAAAGTCTTTATTAAAAGAAGTAATAGGATAAAAACAATGCACCTCCTTGAATACAACACTTTGCAAAGACTGCAAAAAAACAATTGGAACAATCAGATGACACACATAAACTTTATACAAGTTAGTGATGTAAAACTATGTGCATATATAGTTATACACCATGTCCTTAGAGTGCATGTATTGATACCTTTATCATTTTATACACACAGTATACTGAGCATGCATAGCCAAGTAGGTTTTGCAAATGACCCTTCCATGTGCGAGAATATGCAGCAGCTTCCTAATAGTGTTGCCAAATAAGATTTAAGATATTATAAACTCAAGTACCCAAAAAAACAAAAAGGAGAAAAATGATAATTGCAAGGTACAAATATAAGTAATTAGAAAAGGGAATTATAACAATTAAAAAAATACCTTAGCTTGGCGTAGCTCATAGATTTCCAAGAAAAGCTGTTTTGAGAGCTCTTCTAAGGCTTGTACCTCTGATTCCATGCCTCTAATATCTTCAACAACAAAAAATAATAATAATAATAATAATACATTCACCTTGATGTTAATATTTTTCAAGAGAGGCTATATCATTGCTGATGGAAATTGGGATTCATTCTAACCTTGTTCCTTTTGGTCATCTTGCACAGAACGCACAACTGTTCCAACAATCCGTTTGAAAAAGGACCCTGCCTTATAACTCTGCAACAAACATTTTAGTACAACAGGTTATCATTAAGAAATCACATTTCATTTAAAGAGGGATGTACTTTATACAGATAATAGCTTTGAATGATTGATGATGCAAGGTAATCAAACCTCTTCTTGTCCTTGAACTCGCTCCATTTCCATTTGGCTGAGAATGATTTTCTTTTTCTTTCCAATACTTGTCTCAATTGACTGCATCAATTGTCTTTCCAAAGCCTTGATTTCTATTTCTTCAATTTCTCTTCCACAATGAAGGAAGTAAATAATAATATCAGAAAGTAGGTTCACACTTCACACTTGATGAGTTTTTAAAGAATTTTGTCTTTGTACATTGATTGGAATCTTATAATTTCATTGTCATCTTACCTAATGAAGAGAGATAAATAACTGTATGGCAAATTCACAGCTCCAAAACCAGATAAGACAGCCATGACAGTCACACCAATTACTCCAATTCTACTAACAAGCTGTGGAATGGTGAAAAATCCTGAGTAGATGCATTACAATTAGATGTCAATAGGTAGAACCCTAAATGGAAATGTGGTGAAGGGAAATATCAAAGCAAGTAGCATAGATTTAAACCTTTATCAGGTGAAGGCATGGGAAAATGGATTCCCAATCGCCAAAAAGCATACAGAAATGCAAACAAGAATAAAACAGCTCCAGTTGCAGCTCGCCTCTTCCTCACACCTGACACACATAATTAAGATTAAGTGAATAACACTTGTGGATCTGATATCAACACAGTTGCAGTTGCTTAAGAATATCGGGCATATACATGTGTTCTTAAGTATACATACCACTTTTGCAAAGCATCAAGTAACAGTGATAATAAGGCAACATGAAAACCAGTAATGTAATCAAGCAAAATAAATCCACCTTCCAGTTTATCCATCTCGCCCTACAAGGAATAGAAAAATATCAGATTTTCTATAAAATGTGGTCTTACCTGCAGCACCATTAGAGTCATAATCAAGACTGTAAATGTTGCCAGTTATGTAAGTACTGGAATATCATTGAATGAATATCAAAGAGGAAACTAGGAAGTAACCCTAAACAAAGGAATTAACTTCCTCAAGATCAAGTGAAATAACATTCTGTAAGGACATTTTCTTGTTGAATAAGTTTAGAACTATTGCAGTTATGAACTGACACTACTCATGATCAAATGAAACACATAAATGGAACTTCCAATTTCAAGCTGTTCCTATCGTCTATCCACCACACATTTTAACATTTGGGGGATTCGTCCTCGGGAAGCTTTTTTCTTCATTGTGTAGACAAATAAGAAAATGCATCAACAAAAGCAGCATATAAAATAACAGACTGTATAAACTGGAGATGAAAAACAACTAGAAAAAGTGGTAGAAAGATGAACATACTCTTTGGAGAGGATAGGGATGATCTCAAAAAGGACAAGCTCGAAGAGGTTGCAGGAGAAGGCGAAAACAACACTGAAGATGATCTGAACCAGCGCCCGTTTTTCTTCGTACTCCTTGTATAGTCTCCGGTTCAAAAACCAGAGACCCGCCCAGGCAAGCAGCGAAAGAGAACCAACCACCACGACTCCTTCGTAAATCGCCCTTCCCCAACCCATCCAGATCTAATTTCTTATAATACTAAATTATCGGAGTCGAAATCGGAATCTTCACCGTCGATCGATCATGCCGGTGCCTGCTCCCTGTGTCAGTGTGCTGTGTACCGCCTCTGGCCTCTGCTCAAGTGGTTTTACGCTTCCATTTACTTTCCCGGCCGATGCAACTCATGGCTGATGTGGCGCTCTATGATTGGCCGCAAGAAAAAGGTAGAAGTATTTTTGAAGGTTGAACAGTTGAACTTAAACTTATTAATTTGGAAGAATTTAGTATATAAGTAAAACTATTTTATTATTATTAGCTATTATAAAATCATTTTACTTTTATGTCTAAAATAATACAAAAAGCTCAGGCATAACCTTTCAAAAGCTCAAGCCTCCGACTCCCACTTGATCTTCATCATGTGAAAGCTCTAGCTTGATCTAAGTAGGTGGTGTTTGAGATTTTTTTTCAAAGTTAAAAGTTCTTTTTTATAAAAGTTCTTTTTTTTTTAAGTTTTTTAAGGAGTAAAAGTTAAAAGTTAGTTTTAAAAAATGTTTGGATGAAATTTTTTAACTTTTGAATGTTTTATACTTTTTAAAAAGCAAAAGTCACAAAAAGATACAATTTGATGACTTTTAAAAAGTTTTTTTTTCTTGTTGACAAAAAGTTATTTTCAAAAGCTTTTTTTAATTTCCAAACATCTTTTGAATTTTTTAACTTTTTTAAAAAGCTAAAAGTCAAAAAGTTATTTTAAAAGCAATCCTAAACGCCCTCTAATATTTAATATATAGTTAAATCATGGGTCAGCTTGGTCCAAACTGAAAGTCAAGATATTAAGTGCATATTTATTGTAATGTACAAACATGTTGCCATGTAACTCATCTCCCCATGGCATTGACATTGTTCGGGATTAATTAGCATCGAGGTTAGTTTGTATTATTTGTAACCAATAATTCATTTGTGTAATTAATGAAAAATTTACCAATTATCATTAAGATAAAATATTATCTATAGCCTTCATAAACTTTCAACATATCATATTTACCCTAATATCATTTTACAATCCATTCTGGTTTAGGTTTAAAATATCATAAATTATATTTACTGATCTGTTTTCTTCTTTCTCATCCTTTCAAAATATTTGGTCCTAATGTGATAAATTATATTTCAATTTTGGTCAAAATATCATACTCAAAATGTAGCACCTTTGGTCAAAATTTCAACCGTTGCCAATTAGAAAGCAATGCAACAATCAACATCAACAATGTTCCAATGGTACCTCTATAAAGCAATGCAACTGTTGCCAATTAGAATAAATTCAGATGTATATCATATCAGTTAGGCTTATTGACTACACTCACAAAAGCAGAAAGAGTCTATCAATGTAACACTAACGTGGTCAATGAAGTGCATTAATATCAGAAAATAGAAGTGCATTAACGTGGTCAATGAAGTGTATTAACATCACACCCTATGCTTAAGTTCAAGTGTCCTTTTTGAGGTAAATTTCAATATATAAATATATATATATATATATAAACACCAAGTAAAGAAACAGAACACACTGGTATCCAAAACTTGACATTGATCATAGTAAGAGTTAAGGTTACATGTGGAATAACAACCCTATAAACTTTACACATTGTATTAATGCTAAAACTATCTACACTATGCTTCCTCCTTGAAGATCAGTAATCAGTATGCCAGGTCTGAGTTCTTTGATTGACTCAGACCAGTGGCCATCTTATGAGCCAGAGAAGAGACATTTTGCATGTTATGCCTTTTGATGCCATGGCAAATTGGCAAAATACATCATCCACTTTTCCAAAAATCTCCACACAAGATTTGAAGCACGTGCACATTATTCACTTGGGTGTGAATGTTTTATCCTCTATGATCCCAAAAACAGCACCTTTACAGATGTCACTGGGGAACTGAATCCATACGCCTTGCTGTCATTCCATAGTGCAAAACCTGACATGAAAAAAGAAAGGTTTTCATAACTGACTATCAAAAAATTCTGGTTTTGACGAGTTGCTGCAAGGAAACTGATTACTGAAGATAAATGTAGTGCAAATTGCAACGAATAGCAACATACTTTAATCTTTTTACCAATGAATGCAATGTACTTTATTAACAGCCATAATAGCAATGTAATAGCATCTTTTAACAAACAATAGCAACGTTTTTTGAAGTCACAATAATGATTTTAAGAATACCCACTTAATAATACTAACATGCAACAAAAGGATTTGAAAGGCAAACCTATCCAAAGAAACAAGCCAACCGTTGAAGCCAAGAAGAACTCCTTGCTGATACTTGCACACCTAAATCCGTATTCACAGTTATAAGTATCACAAAACTAGCTGAAAATGGTTAAAATTTAAATATTATGTATTTTACAGATAAGCATCAACAAGAAAAAGCCTTACAAGTACATGCATATAAGGTTTCCCCATCCATAGAAGAAAGATGCCCAGCATGAACCTGTGAACCTGCATACATTCATTAAACATTAAATAACTATGCTAACTTTAATCAAACGATTATCTCACAAGAATTAGTATGATTTACAGGGTAGATTAGCCTATTCAATCATGATGATGCAAAAGTAAGTATACCACATGAGATCCTTGACAAAAAGTGCACGAGGGATCAAAAGTCCATTTCCTGTCATGGCAAGCAGCATAGAGAAAGATGACAAACCTCTGATGTTATCAGGATTCAAGAAGTTTGTCCACTGTAAGTTGGAAAACTCATGTCAAATAACCAACCAATTTGCAATCTTATATATACACAAGTGTATTAAATTCACAAGCATGATATGTAGTACCATTTGAGCAACAGGCATCCACATGAAAAGGAGTGTAGCAGTCCATCCAGATACTGATCCAACAAATTTGGTTGCTTTTTCTGGAAGTTTACCAATCCGAGCCTGCAAATATATGGTATGAAACTTTGAAGAACTATCTTAAAATCCTCAAAAAGTGAAGTAACAGTAAGTCATAGCTAAAGCTCACCATGACGACAGCAACCACAGAGATCATAAAAGATATGATTCCTGGCAAGATACTGTTTGGAACATAGGGTACAAAAGTTGACCACATAACCTGCATAAATTGGGAAATTCATATAGCAGTTGTTTTCCACTAGGAAAGAGAAGAAAACTACAGATGTATTATTACTTGTGGAAGTGCAGAGAGGCCAGCAACAGTAATGAAGTCCTCCCATAAGTTCCAGATCCTGTGGTTGAGCAACTTAAAGTAATACAAGAAATTGATGAGGAGACCACAAGCGACTACACCGGAAGTAGCAGCAAACTGTGGTAGAGGCATGGATCCAGCCATGGCGAGTTGAGTGATGACTGCATATGTTGATACGACTCCCAAAGTCTGAACCACCACCACCTCCGTTTCCCTTTTCTTTGCAAAGTAAGATAGCAGCGAAAGGTTTCCAAGAAGTCCAGTAAACATTCCCTGCCACCATTTGACATTCACCGGTGAAGAAAAGGGAATGATAGTAAATGGAAAGATGAGGGAATTACAGGAATAGATACCAGCCATGGAACTGCGAAAAGGGCAGAATTGTTTCCAGCGAGAAGATTACGAGCATTGAGTACGATTTGAGGCAATTGGAGCAACAAAAAAGGGACATTTGCAGCTCCGGCGAACTTTGCTGTCAGGGAATCCCATTGCTGTAACTGCTTCTTGCTTGCCTTTGAACACCATTGAAACAAAGTTACAAACAAGTTTGAATTACTCAAAGAAACAGAGAGAAATGACGACAAATTGATCAAAAGCAGAAATCTTTTGTTCATACCTCCTCTTGCTCATTGTCTTCTTGGTCAACAGGATTAGGGATGTCGGAATCTAGAGCGGGGTTGGGTCTGATTATTCGTCTTTTCACTTGAAACGAGGGATTGATTGAAGAAGAAGAAGTGGCACCCAGTTTCAGAGTGCAAAAAGGTGATCTTTTTAAGGGAGGAAAGGTAAGACGAAGAAAACCCCCGCCATTATTACAGGAATACCTGGTCGGAGTTGACGGTGGAAGGGGTGGAGCGCCACCCAGAGCCGCTACACAACCTACCGTCATTGTTAACAGGTTGGCAAATGGCAAAGTGAGGGTGTGTGGAGAGAGAAAGATGGTCGATCTGTGCGATAGACGATGATGGGTTGGGAGGGAATTGGAATTGGTCCCAGTTTACATATGGCTGTGCATCATAAAATCGCACCCATATTTGGTTATAAGTTGATTTCTTTTATTTGAATTTGTGAAGTTTATGATTGCAATTTGTAACAGAATTCAAACCAACCGACTTTGAACTCAAAACCCCATATTTGGGTCTCTTAATCTTGGTTTAGTTTGATTTGAAACTACTAGATTAAACTACTAATGAAAATTTGAGCATAATTTGAATCTACAACAAAATAAGAATATGAGTTTAGTTGAGTTTTATGCATTTATAATGCAAATTGAGTTCAATTAAGTTCGGTTAAAAATTCTACAAACCAACTTGGTTGAACTAACAACTTATACAAAAATTAGAAAAAAAAATCATAATATATGAATTCGAATATTAATATTGAAAATAGTAATAATAAATAAGTAGATTAGTAATTAATATATGTATGAATGAAATATATCTAATAAAATCACATCGTACAAATAATACACAAAGTCATTTAAGTTCATATTAGGTTATCAAGAGTGGTCATCACACCACCATTCCAAAAATGTTATCACATCATTGTCACATCACTATCACTTTCTTACCACTCAGTCGCTCATCTAGAAAATGACCACTACTCCACATCATTTTTTTATACTTGTACAATGTTCGTTAATGTTTGTGCTTTTGAGAGAGAGATAGGAGTTAGACACAAGCTTATAGAACCACGATCAATAACACCACACGCAATAACATCACCTAGGAGTGGTGTCCATGTGCATCACTACGTTACTAACACTTCACAATCACTTTTCTAAGAAATGATCACTACTCCGCATCATTTTTCTATACTTGTACAATGTATATAAATGTTTATACATATGAGAGAGAGTTAAGTGTGGTCAAGTGTAGATAGAGCCACAACACACAATAACGCCACCCGGGGGCGGTGTTCACGTGCATCATGCCGTTCACGCACGGTTATAACACCGGTACTCCTAGTAGCCTTAGAGAATCATTGAATAAACACCTTTTTTTTCTCCGAATATACTAATACCACAAATTTTAAATTGCTAAAAGGAAATGTATTTTTATCTCTACAAAAAAAAAAAAAAAAAAGTTATTATCTACTATAATTACCACCGACTCTTGTTAAGATCTATATTACTATACTATTTATATGTTCATTGTCTCTTTTATATAAAATCATATCCTGAGAATATATCAACACTATAATCTATAACTTTAAATTATCTTAACAATTCTTTATTGATTCGACTCTCCTTATCATCTAGTCAACCATATAATGTTTGTCATCTTTAAGTAGCCCATAATTGCCAACCATATAATATTTGTTATCTTTAAGTAGTCCATAATTGTCTCATTTGGACATGTCCATTGCACCACAATATTATTTCCTTCAATTATTTTGTGATCTAAATAACTCCCAACTTATTGTAGATTGCCACATTCGATATAATATCCAAGCATATCCAATAATATTCTACCAAAAGTATCTTCATTCTTGTGCTACAATACCATGACCAACTTAACTGCTACTGTATAGAACTCTTCCTTTACTATCAACAAGACTTGTCACACGACACTCATGTGACCACCCTCTACTTTAAGTATCTTGCCTTAATAAGGTGGTAACATGGTTTTTTTTTTTTTTTTTTTCCATTCCTTATGGTCGTAGATCACTAGCACTTAAAACACTCATTTAGAATGTAAAGCATACTCCTCAAAGGCTCAAACCGATAGAACTAAAAAACCATAAAACCAAGTTCACCACCGCACCTTATTTTACCACTATAACCATTGCGACATTCTTGTTTTTTAGTACATTTAAATTTAGCCAAGTAACATGCATAACTTGATTTAATCTAGGGTCATATAGTAAAAAAAAAAAGGAAATCTTTATTATTTAATCAATTAATGCAACACACTTTCATTTAGCCATTTTAATAACAAACCTTAAGTCCTAAATGATAAGAAATTGCCTAAAACAGTAAACGAAAATTTATAAAAGCAACTTTTACATTAGATGATTACAATGTAGGTTGCGTTAATTTATAAAAAAGCAAAGAACATTTTATATCATCTTATATTAAACCCTTTAATCTATAAAAGAAAAGTGTTGGTAAAAGAACTGGTTACAAATTTAAAGACTCAAAGACATCCATGTGCCATGGGCATTGGGCACACTTACCCCAACCATTTGACTAATGGACTTTCTTGGATCCACAAACGAAGGATCCAAGATCCGACACAAATTGCTCATCTAAGCAAAGAGCACATTGACCAACCACTATTCTTCAAAAGTAAATCAACCAATTAAACAAACAAACAAACAAACAAACAAATAACAATTGAGGACTATCCCAGCATGCCAACAAATAAAAGAAATAGGAAGAAACCAGGTTTCATAATCCATACTTAAAGAATCACTATGAATGCACATCCAACATAACTTCAACTAACAGTTATCATGCCAACAGTAGACAAATTCATTCTATATATAGTTTCAAATTCCATTTCCACCACCCTCAACCTCAAGCAATCCTTCCATATTCATTTCCTCCATGTGAAGATGGCAGAATATCGGCAGCAATCGGATGGTTTCCCCTACGCCCTACAAAAAAGGAATCACAATTCCAGACTTCAATTCAATGTATAACTTTAATAAAAGCAAAAAAGTCAAAATCGGATCAAGTAGCAAGAACAATACCCCATGGTGCACTGCTGCTTCCAAGGGAACGAGGACCTCCGGAATTGAAATTGGAAAGAGGAGCCTGTTTTACATGATTCCATTCCGCCCCGCGGATTCCCATTGACCTTCCGTGATTGAACCGTTGAACGGGCTGCTGGCCCAATCGACTCGGTGAAAATTGTGAGAAATGAGAAGGCATTAAATGGGAAGGTGTCATCATGGGGTGAACATATATGTCTTGGGATGAGCCTTCTCCATGTGGGAATCCTTGAATTGGCCTATAATTATAATAAGCCATAAAAACATCTCAATCACTCACAATTTGTTTTTCATGAAATGATAAGTTGAACCGGAATCACTAATTACCGTTGTGTTGACATCTGATTGAATCTCCCAGCCCCAACAAATGATTCTTGATTAAGATGCATACTCTTACTGAATTCCACTGTCATGTTGTTCACATCTGAACTATCATCTTGAAGAAGCAACTCGTCACTGGAAACACAAGTTTCTCATAATAAAAACTGTCTAAAATCATTTACAAAAAAAGACGTTAACACCCTCAATCATTATTACCTGTAGTTAGGATCCCAATCCCCGGGATCAGGAAGCGAAGTGCTAGCTTCAGACTTAAACTGTTTATGATTCCCACTACTTCTCTGTTGTTGCTTCCGGTTTTGAGAATTTAAATTCGGTTGTAGATGATGCATTGAAGAACGACCCATGACAGGTGGCGAACTCTCAATGGACGAACTAACATCAGGAAACTGTCCTTGTCCTTGTCCTTGTCCTTGTCCGTGTCCTTGCCAATGAGGAGTCGATGTTGTTTCCTGAGTTTGTAAACTCCCGGAATACCCCCACGGTTTTCTTCTATTCATCTGATTCCCGGATGGAATCCCAGTTCCCTTTCCAAGAGGCGATCCGTGATTCCCTCTAGCTGGTGAACTAGGCCCATAATGCCCGGGGGACCCGCTTGTAACCTGGGAATAGGGCGGGGTGAATTGTGATGGGCTGGTTCCGAGTGACATGGGTGCAAAATTCCCTTGGGCCGGGCTGAACCCGAACCCGTTTCCATGTGGGATTTGCATGATTCTTCTTCTAGCATCCGGGCTACTTCCAAGAACCGGGGCGTGTCCTTGAGCATAGTTGTTCATGGCTGATGGGCCCACGGGGGAATAATACGTGACCATGTTGTTACTGTTGTCCCCGTAACTACCATAACTACTTCCGAGTAAATTACCATCGTTGTAACTGCCATGACTTCCTAAACTTCCGAAATTACCCCCGTGTGCGTATGGCATTACTTGAAAATGAGAGTTGTTATACATTGCCACTCGGTTTCCACCTAGAACCTACATGAATTTTAAACTGGTTACAAAGGGTAAAAAGGTCAAATTAGTGACATGGAGTTAAGAAGCAGAAGTGCTCACGTTAGGAGAGAGACCTGCAGCAAACCAATGACCGCCAGCTGGATGATGGTCAACCTTCATGTTATGAGAAACGGGCTACATTGCAAAACAGAAAATATACAAAAAAAGATACTAAAGAGATACAATAAAAATAATAATAATAAAATAAAAGGATTAGTTACCACACGAGGAGTTTCGGGAGCAGGTGTATAAGGGCAAGTAAAAGGTTCACCGGTTACAAAGGGATGTTTAGAAGCCTGCAACAATTATATAAAGTGTTACCAATTAAATTTCTTAATAAATGAAGATTTGTTTGATATGTGAACAAAAATTGGTATATAATAACAACCTGCAAAGGTGACCATCGTTTGGCTGGATCGAATTCTACGAGTCCCCTCAAGAAATCAATGAGTGCTAGTCGTATTTGACTTTCTGTGGTTTGTTTGTTGTAAATATGATGATCAGATATAGTTTAAAAGATTTGGTGAGAATAGTGAGTGTAAGAGATTTAAGGAGATTGGGATAACCTTTAGCCAAATCTTCTTCTTGTAGATTTTTTCTGTAAGGATACTTTTTGACAATTGTTTCAAGATTCATGTGATTGAAGTACTCCTTTCCAATTGATGGTTTCTTCAACTCTCTCTGAAGGAAAAGAGAAACATAATGAATCAAAATACAGCCATAAGTACTCATAGTAGCTACTGAAACAAAAGAAAGACACTGGTATCATAAGATATATTCTCAACAATCTTTTTGGGGAAAATGTAAAAAAGGGAGAAAAAAATATTCTTGTCGTCAAGCCTAGTGGAAACCAAAGGTGAAAGAAAGATGCATTGGAGGATAGCCTTCTGTTTAGCTCATTGCACATTAGATAGGAAAATCAAGCATTTGCTGAAATTGAGAAGAAGGCCAAATCTGACCAAAACTTGTAGAGTGAAAGTTCCCAATAGGAAAAAAGAACAGAAGAATTCAAATATCATCTTGCATATATGGTGATAACTAACCATTGTTCCCGATGCTTCCTACATTATGAAATCAAACACTTGCATAACAAGGATGAAAAGGAATACTTTTATTCTATGATTACATCCCCTAGAGTGAAATACTTTTATTCCTACGCGCTACATCTGCATTATGATACTTACATATATCCTTCTGTGTGATTCTCTAGGACTCACGGTTTTTAAAGAGTTTATCACAAGAGTGTAAAGTGTTATATACCATGCAGGAGTATATTTATTTAAAGAGTTCTTATTACATCACTTCCCTATTTACAAGTTTCAAAGATTTTAGTTATTTATATCTTATACGAGTCAACCCCTATGTTTTTTACTAGGCTTTCCAGCATGACTTACTATTTTGATGTGTCCCAAGTGCTAAAAGCTAAGTGACGGGAGGAGATATAGAAGTTTAAGAGTTTGCCAAAGAGCTTTTAGAATGGCATCTTCTATTGGGATTTGGGAATAGTGACGTTTACTTATTACATATTTGTCCACTTAAAGACAAGTGAATACACTTTATGAGTTCTATTTAGTTGTGTGATTTGAATGACAAAGAGACGAACTCGGATTCACACAACAAGCTTTAGATTGAAATGCCTAATTTTTCAAAGTATGTTGCTATTCCCAATGAACATAAATAAGAGGTCTTTGATAGAACCAAATTGACAAACTCGGTTACTTATAACTTAAAGCTTAAAAACAAACGATAGGTGCCTGATATTCAAGACTTAGGGGATCTCTAAAGTCCAAACAAAAGAAAACAACTCACAAAACTTTGCCTGCTTTCTTAGAGCTGTCCCTAATCCTATTTATTGACTCTCCTAAACTGATAAAAGGAAACTATACTTGTAGAAGGAAACCAGAATCAAGTCAATCAACTAAACTAAATAATAAAGATATTAGAATAATTATAAATGAGAAATTAAATATCCTCTTACCTTTTCTTCCTACTTATGTTCCTACCCATGTGAAATGGTGACGCGTGTTATATTTTAATAAAATTAATAATATTATATACACGTGTCATCATTTCACATGGGTAGGAAGATAAGTATGAAGAAAGTAGGAGGTTATTTAGTTTCTCGTTATAAATTACTAAACAACCCCTGTTGTCGTTTTGCGCCTCTGGTAAACTTGATCCCACTTACCCACTCAGTGTTTCACCTTGCCTCGGGCATCTCACACCTTGAAGAAGTCAAAAGATTCACCATTAAAGAAAATGGAGTGCTAACGTAGAGCAAAGAATCCACAAAACTGCCTACTCCTAGCATGCCTCCTATCACTCATATTTTCATATTTAATATTTTAAGTGCTTATCGGAAAGAAAAGCATAATTATGTTGTTAAGCCTAGTGATCGCATACAGTACCTTGTTCCTCATATTATTTGGTATTTTCCTAAGGCTCTAGATCGTCCTATATATGGAAGGAAGCCATGCATGAGGAAATGTATACCTTCAGACATGACACACCATCGGGATATCCCTAAGGATAAGATTATAGTGGAACCTCAAGCATATATACTGTATGTCTCTACAACCGTTTATTATAGATTAACCTATAATCCATCATATCATCTTGATATCAAGAATGCATTTCTTCCTATAATTCATGAGGAAAAGGTTTACATACAACAAACTCCAAGATTATTGCTTTACAACTCCTCTTCCAACGTATATTGCTTACAACATTTCCTTTAAAAGTTAAAGCAGACACCTTGATTCTTGCATTTTTCATTTTCCCCAACTCTAAAAACGTTTAGGATGATCCGAACTTCACATGACTACTAGATATTCATTCTACCATCAAAGAAACGGAAAGATAGTGTGCTAGAATTCTATGTAAATTGTTATTGCTAGTGATCATACTCAAGAAATTGTTGCTCCAAAAATTTTAATTCACAATGAGTTCCAAAACCAAAGACCTTAAGAGGAGTCTTGATTACTTAGCAAGGTCACGAAAGGGCATCTTATTCTTGGCTAGGCTAGATTATTGTCATCCTGCTGCAATTTATAGCTTGCTCATGAATAAGACTAGAAAATCATGGAATCCATAACACCCATGAGACATAGACAATGGTAGATGCTTACGCATTTACACTAAGCTTGTGAAACTCTCCAATGTCAGCATTGGCCTCATTAACCTAAAGTTCTTATCCAACATATAATGCATCCTTTTCCCTGGACCATATATTCCAATCTTTACTAAAATTAGATGTCAATCATGCCCTTTAGAATTTACATTTCAGGTAATTGCAATAAGAAGATCCAGGATCCCAATTAAATTTCATCTGTTATCTTGCAATATATGATGGAAATTGATCAAGTGCTTCTAAATAGCTACGTGTTCCTGCCTATATAACCCTTTTTTCATTCATACTGACACGCCCAAAATTAGGAGAAATCTACACTCAAGTGCCAATATCATGAATGTAACTAACAAGTAACAACTTAAGCAATATATTATAGTGTCATGTGGCAAAACTAAAATGAACACTTACAGCTTCATATTCTTCTTCATTTAAAGCTTGGTATACACTCCTTCCACAAGAAGAAATCTGACTAGTCTCTTCATGGCTGACACTTCCTACACACTTGAAGAATTTGCTAGTGTTCTTTGCCTCTTTAAGTACATAATCAGGTGGTTGTTCCCTGGATAGAGAAAACAAATAAGAACATGCGGATCAAAACTTGATACCAAAAGAAAACAGGAGCATACCCGAGTATCTTTATCATCCTCCTAAGAAGATCAAATTCTGATGCTCCTGGAAAAAGTGGTAGGCCAAGAAATAGTTCAGCAACTATGCATCCAAATGACCACATGTCAATGGCAGTTGTATACTGATATCCAAGAAGAACTTCAGGTGATCTGTAGTATCGACTCTGCAAAAAAAGGTATCATTCAGAAAAGTGTTCATCAACCTAACAATATTTAAGCAAGCAAGTTTATAAAAACCTGGATATAGGAGTAAACAGTGTGATCTTCCATGCATGCTGATCCGAAGTCAATAATTTTGATCGCTGCTGGTTTCACACTGGCAACAAACAATAAACAGAAATAGTGGGAGCAAATAAGCTCAAAATTCATATAAAATGTAGTACAAAAATGATCAATTATTGAAAGAGGAAGAGGAACAACTCACCTGGTGCATAAGAGAATGTTCTCAGGTTTTAAATCACAATGGATAATAGCAGCATCTTTCATCAGAGCTAAACCGTATAAAATCTAGTACAAAAATGATCAATTATTGAATGAGGAACAGATGGAAGAGAAATACTATTAAACTACAGGGGCACTCCAAAACAATTTTAAACCTGCTTTGAGAATAGTTGCACAATGCTCAATGATAATCCCCGAAAGTGATTTAGCTTTATAAGCTCATACCTGATATAAAACCACAGTACACAAAGTTCAGATCAATGAATAGCCCATAGAAGATGAAGATGATGTGTATGACACAAAAGAACTTACAGATTCGAATCAAGCAGTTCAAAAGCAATGCAAAGATGTCGCTGGTATACAAAGTAATCATAAATACGAACAATATGATGCTTATCCTCAGGGTCAAACTTTTTATTTAACTGAAAAAGTAAAAAAGAAAATTAGCATTCTAAATTTCTAATTCAAAGTTCAAACCCTAGCCACAAACAGAAGAACACTTACTGTTGTCAGTATGGAAACTTCAACCAATGCCTGCTGATAGTAAGCAGGTTGATTTTTTATAACCTTCACTGCAACAAAACGGTCCAGCTCAGCAACCCAACATTTAGCAACCTGCCCGAATGTCCCTTGCCCGAGTATGTCTTTTACAATATATCTGAATATCATTAAAAAAATTATATCTGGGACTGAGATGGATGATCCTTTTCTTTTCAATACAAATAGTAAGCAATTAACCTTCTGTGAGTGTCTAAATTAACCAAGGCAAAGTTCACAGTAAGAATAAGGTCTGAATTTTCATTATCATAGCCATCATTGAGTACTCCAGCAGATGGGGTTGTCAGAAACCTTTTTGGGTTTAATTCATCTGAATAACTGAACTGCGGGTTGCATATTCTGTATGTGTCAACTATATCCTTGGTTAATCTTGATACCAACTGCAAAATAATAGAGAATATAACAGTCAGTCTCCTTCGTCAATTGTCAATTGTCAATTGTCAAGGACTTTAGTTCACATAATCATCATCTGATAAACAGTGCAAAGGAAAGATTTTGATTTTGATGGGTAAAAAGAAGGAACTCACAGGTCGTTTAACGAGAACACGCAAATTCTGTGACTTTGCATCACTTGGCGCATAAGGTCGGAAAACAAGCTGTCTAGGACTCCATGGAACTGATGCTGAAGCGGATGATAAGCTATCATCTGCTGTCACGGTGCAAGTAGTGTTGACCTCATCCATCAGTGCTCCGCCACAATCCACCACCGAAATATTCTAGAAATTGAATGAATATCATAAATAATTAAAGCATCAGCGGAGGTTCGATTGCTGCTGCCCCGTCGTCGAATGTCTTAATCTTCCAGCAAATTGAAGTAATTTACCGGAAGACTGCAATCCCATTATCATTGCTAAAACCCCACAGCGGTCATAAACAAAGCAGCAGTTTCAGATCCATCAAAGTAATAACCCGAAATCAGTCGTCAAATAACAAGAACAGGAACAAGAACCACACTTTCTTTGATAATCAAATTGGCTCCCTTCTTTTTTCGAAATCCAGACACAAGCCGGAGGAAATAGATTGATAATCGGAGAGGATGATCGGGAAATTCAAGAAATAAACTATTGTGATTACTAATATCGGATAGAGGATCGAGAATAGAATCAAAGGGGTACCAACAAAGGACGGAAAGGAACAATCTTGCGAAAATCAAATGTGTGTGTATTTGGGTTTCTAGGAAAAGATTAAAAGATTGATTTCACAAAGACATCGTCGGCACCTCCAATTAAAAGAAAAGGAAAAAGAAAAAGGTTTTTGAGTTTTATCTGTCTTCGCTCACGAGTCACGAGCACCGCCGCTGTCGAACGTATAATGATAATCTCCGGTATATTACTGGATTACATCTTTGAAACAATTGCAAGAAACAGCCTTATACTTTTGTCGGTTACACAGTCTGAACCCTCTACTTTACCAACAATGTATTTAACGATGACGGTGTTTAATTGGGGTTTACTTTCTAACAAAGACATAATAGACAAACCTTCGATACGTGATACTTATCTTCCAAATAAAATAAGGATAAATCTGAGTTTAAACTCAAATTCGATGAAATTACATTTAATACCTAGTAATGATGCTTATCTAAAAACCAATTTATTACCAAATCAATACTTTGATAATTTTCTTTAATTATAATAATTATCATGTCTTATTAGCATAGACATTAAATATATTATGAGGTTGTTTGGATGTTCATTTTTAAAGTCATTTTAAGATCATTTAGATTGGATAAAATTGTTCGGTATGATGCAGTTAAGGTTCGTTATTACCAACGTGTACCCACCTCAACGACGTTACCACGAGAGGAACACTGCCCCCCTTACATCTATGTGGTGTATCATGTTGGTGGTAATGAGCTGCAACGCGATTTCTTTTTTATACTTTTCCTAAACGAAAGTGGAATCACATGAAAACAAAACTTGGAGATAAGCATTAGAGCATATCACAATGAAAAATTATATTGTAGCTAATGGATGTCCTCTTAGTTTTGAGAAATGTGAATCTACCAGCCTACTTGATATATGTGGTAGAAGTACAGAAAAAAAAAATATCCTTGTTGTTTGTATGCTTCATGGATGTATACTGAGAAATCTTTGCAGATAAAGTCAATAAAGGTGAAGAACATATTGTAACATCCATTTTCCAAGTAATATTTTTTTCCAGAGTTAATTATTCTAATTATTATTTGTGAAAATTGTCAGTGGGTTGACGTGGTGGCTAAGGCTCCACGACGTGGCAATTGTCCGATTAAGAACGCATAGCTTGACGGTCCACGGTGTGGCAGCCATTTTTGGTGCAAACCGTAATTCTTCGGGTTTGTACCATATTTAAGGGCACCAACTAATAGGACTGCCTCATTTAGCAACATCCATCCTTTGAAATCGATCCTCACCTGAACCCTAGCCTATTTGTGTGTATTTTTAGTGTGTGAAGCCATTTTTGTGAAGTTTGAAGGAAGAAGAAGCTCATCTTGTGGTTGTTTAGTTTGGTTCCAGCTTAGATCCAACATCTTCATCACATTTCAGACCTTGTGGAGGTATAAAGTCTCAACCTTGCTCCTTGTTTCTCTGCAACTTGTTTTATGTCTTTTTTGAGCTTTTGGTCCAATTTTTTTTTTCCTTGAAGTTTGAGTGTACTCCTGTTAATGTTACCTAACGGCCACGTTAAATAGAACAGAGACATTACTGCCTTGGCTGAGACCCGGTCTTGGCCTCAAAGAGCCAAAGCCGTAGCGACAGCTCATTTCTCGTCACAAGGGAAGAATATCCCATGTGATCTCCTCATGCACTCACAACCAATGAGAAAGCTACAAATAGCCCGAGTGATGCCCAAAACTAACGTTACCTGGCGGTTAGTTAGCGTGAATAGCTCTCCCAGTAAGAGGAGGCCACGTATCACGCTCACAAGAGACGCTCCCCACGATCCCTTAGTAACAGATATAAAAGGATCTCTTTCGTCTCAAGGGAGAGATCCATCTTCTTTCTCACGTAGATAACCCTAAGATTTCTCTCTCACCCTAAACTAACTTGATTGTCGGAGCGATGTCCCGGGAGAACACTCGGTTGTCCTCTAACGGTTCTTCTGTGATTCGGACGTATCCTCGGAGTGATACAGCCAATAGACAATGTTGGTTCCCTGGATAAGGGGGATCTAAGCCCAACAGTATCTGGGATGGCAGCAGAAGCTCTGTTCATAATGCACGAACCACTCCAGGTGATGATGACACAGATCCTGCCAATTACGATAAGAACAGTAGAACCAGTGCTCCAGAGCAATTTCCGGTAATTGTCATCGGATGTCTCATCACCTCAGATGGTGATATCACATCCCAATCTTTTGCGGACGAATTCGTATGATGGCACTGAGGTATTCACTATCTCTAACTCTCTTAAGAGAAACGCACCTCACCACGCAGAAAAATGAGATCTAGGCACTCTAGAGAAACCTACTTAACATCAGTTTCTTGAGTAGTCATCCCAGACCATCAAATTGGGATCCATGAAACCCACTCCTCATATCAGGATTCATTCATAACACAAAGGTCCACCGAATATACATTGACAATGGTAGTTGCTCTGATATACTTTATGAGCACTGCTTTCGGAAGCTACCTGACACGTGCAAGGAGGGTCTCCGACCCTCATCCGGTGGACCATGAGTATGATTCACTGGGCATAGCTTATGGCTACTAAGAATTATTTGGTTGCCCTTAACGTTGGTCAGCCACGACAAAAGGGACCGAATCACAAGGACATTCGAATTCTCTATGATCTGACACCCAGCATAACACAATGTTCTGCTTAGACGCTCAGCAATCACTTTACTACATCTTGTACCATCGACGATGCATGTCATCATTAAATTCAGCACGCGCCAGGGATCGGCGGCGGTCCTCTCCACAAACACCAGAGCACAACATTACCACCAAATCATAGTTGCCCCATAACTCATGCACGCGCCAAATAAGTCCAAGGAGGGATGTTCCACAGATCAATGCCAGATAAACATGGAGTATCCAGAGCAACTCGTGCAAATCAACACCCACTTAACAGACAAATGTTGGATTAGGTGTTTAATCCCATAACTGTAATTGGTATGTACCTACCCGAGAGTAGCATAGTCCATTTCGGGTTGCCTTCACCGGGACAATTTAATAGGATGGATATTTGAGAAAAAGGTTATTTATGATTTATTAATATAATATAAGTATAATATATTAATTTAGAAATCATATTATTTAATTAATATTGATCAATAATTAATTTGGAATTAATTAGTGATCAGAAGAGATTAATTAAATTAACAAGGACTAATTGTGTAAATTAGTGATACATATGGTTTGGGTTATTGATCCATGATGGGATAAGTTTATGTAAGAATCCATAAAGAGTTAGTCCATATGAGTTATAGATCATAAGCCTAAGTGTAAGAATTAGGGTTACGTATGACTCTTGGATTCTACATTATATTTGTAACCCCTTTATGCACAAAATTGACACACTAGTGATCTTGAAATGCTATAGCCGAATTTTGGTGCCTAGAAACTCTCTCTCAAATCGCTCCTTTGTTCATGGTGTTTGTGGCTTGTTTGATCCATCACATTTGAAATGTTAAGTTCTTAAAGGCCAAATACATCAAGCTACAAAAAGAGGTAATAATCTAATCTATTTTATGATTCAAATATCAAATTGTATGCTAGTTTTAGGCTTCATGCTTTGGATATTTTATTGCATGTATAACTAGAGAAAACTTAGATATAAAGCATTAGGGTTGTATGTCCACCATATGAGTGTTGTAGTATACAAAACCCAACAATGGTATCAAAGTCATTGATATTTTTTGTTATATATTTACATTGGTGAATTGTTCAAAGCTAAAAAATGAATTTTTGCACTCTGCTAGGGTGAACTCGATGAGTCCACTCATGAACTTGACAGGTTCATCATGAATTCAACGAGTCCATTATCTGACTCGACGAGTTCAGCAGTATGTTGGCAGTTTTTCGGGTTTTTTTTGCCAGAATTGGATTTAGATCATTACCTTAAACTGTTTTGTATCACAAAACCTGTTTTTTCTGATATGGTAATGGTTATCCCATCCAATTAAAAGATAAATTGTCAAATCATGAAATTATTACTAGTTTATATGATAAGCTAATTGTTAGTAATATTTTGATTTGAAATTAGCTTGCTTTAAAAGATGCATTAAGCCAAATTTGTAAAAGATAAAACTATGATTATTTTATTGGTTCTAAAATTTGATCTAATTGTTTTAGGAGTTACAAAACTTGCTATCAAGTTTTGGAACTCAAAAAGTTTTTTTTTGTGGAGTTACAAATCTTGTCATCTTGTCAAGTTTGTAACTCAAAAGGTTTTCAAGAGTTACAAAATTTCCCTCAAGTTTTGGTATTTGAAAAGTCTCAAATTATGAAACATTGATTTCTAAAACTCTTATAATTAAAAGGTGCAACTCTTGGGTTCATAACTAAAAAAATTAATTAAATAGTTTTTAATTTTGAATTTTTTATATTTAGAACCTTGTTGTTTTTGAATAGTTCAAATTACACCTTATGAACTTTATTAAAGTGATTAATTAAAAGAGAATTGATAATTCCATAATGACATAGTTTGAGTTTAATTAAATTAAGAGTATAATTTATTAATAGATTAAACCATCTAGTATTTTAAAAGTTTAAAATACACCATTATACTATTATATATTATAATATTATAATATTATATATATATATATATAATACAAGTCAGTCTTACCGTTAGTAGGCCACATTCACGAAGCCAATCTAAAAAAAAAAAGGGGGGGGGGGGGGGGGGGTTAAGGATATTGCCTATAAAATGGTGGTTTAATGGGTATCCACTCTCACTCACCACTTTCTTAATTGATTAAGGGTCGTTAGCAGAATGGGTAGGATAGGATATTAATTCTCATTAAAAGTATAATGATAATTATAAAGTAACTAAATGTTTTATAAATTCTCAATCTTAGTTACTTTAGAAAAAATGTGGATTTGATGCTAACCCATGAAATTGCACATTGTACCTTATTAGTCGTTAGTGGAGCTTGTGTGGTTAACCGACGCACTAATATAGGACTAATGTAGGATGACAATGGATTTCTCGTAAATTATCGTTGATCAATGGAGCGTGTGTGGTTAACCAGCACATTTATTAGGTGATAAATGACATCGATAGTATCAAGCCAATTTGCATAGTTATTCACACCTTGTTTGTGATCTTCGGTATCCTATCACAAACTTGAAGGGAATAATTGAGATTAAACATGTCATTGAAAAGTTCAATGAATCTCAAAAGATCTAGGAATTTTAATTCATTTAAAACCTAATGTTCAATTTCGTTTTTCATGGTGGAAATTGGTAAATCGTCATTTACCTACCTTCAAATAGTTTACAATTGGATTACGACATCCCTCTTCCAAATTGTAAATTATTATGTTGGGTCCTAGCCTTAGTATTTCATTTGGGTGTTATATTAAGGACTTAAATCAATTCACTTGAATCTCTCCCTTATAGATGTCTAGTTCTGACAACTATGGTTCTTTATCATTCTGGAAAAAACTTTCCTAATGAAGATGATATCCCACATGGCGATCAAGGTGAAATATTAATACCTTTGTCGTGCATTAACGAGACTGGAAATCATACTTCACTTCCTCTACCTCATCCAGTTATTCTCCCCAACCCACGTGTTCGAATACTAGAAAATTTCAAGGTCAATCAAGCCCTTTGTAACTTATTTTGAAATAATAAAGGTGTGTTATTTGATTATTGTGTTTATTGCTTAATTATTATGATTTAATAAGTTAAGAATAAAATTAAGCGTTGAAAATAAATGTTAGATAAACCCGATATCTATAAAGAAAGTTGTAGTGGTTGAAACAAGGATTCCGGAGATATAAAGAATAACGAAATTCAAGTTATAACGAAGAATTTATGACCTGTCGAAGTTTCGTGACAGAACCGGCATAACGTTTTGTGACGTAAAAAGTGAGGTTACGATAAAGTGATTTTTAGCCTTAGCGACCTAAATGAAAGTCGTATTATTCGTTAAACCGATAGCGTGTATAAAAAGAATGTCAAAATCTGACTTCGTATGAGGAAGATATGAATTTTCTAAGATTTGGTATAGCAGTATGCAGCCCGAAACTCGAATTTTTGATTGAGTGATTTTTAGCCGAAGCAACCTAAACGAAAATCGAAGATCTTATTGATAGTAGTGCAACGGCAAAAAGACAGACGAAAAACGGATGTCAGATGAAGAGTTATGAATTTTTAACGGACTTTTTATGTCCCGGTCTGTTAAAAATATAACTTTAAAAATAAAGTCACAATAGCCGACAGAGCCTAAATGAAAGTTGTAGAGCATGGAAATACCTATATGTGGATATAAAGAACGTCAAAATCGGAGCTCGTATGCGAAAGTTACGAAGTTTTGAAGTTTGAAAATTTGGAGTACGCCCAGCGTACAGAAGGAGTACGCCAAGTCTCGTGTAAGTGTTCTGAAGTCCATCACCTTCCCTACTCCTTCGCATGTGATCCACGTGTCGTAGCCTTGATGCGTCCGATCTGATCCACTTTGTACGCCCAACGAAGAAGTGTGTGAGGCAGTACGCCTCGCGTACCTGAGCTGTACTCCCCGCGTACTAAGGTGCTTCGGTCTCCTATAAATAGGATCCAAATCCAACCAAATATTGTTTACAAAATTCACT